TCACCTGATTCATCACAGTAGCAAAATTACAGTTATGAAGTAGCAACAAACATCATTTTATGGTTGGGAGGGTTACCACAACATAAGGAACTGTATTAAAGGGTCATGGCATTAGGAAGTTTGAGAACCATCTTATTAGAGGTTAATTATTAGAGTATTAGTATTAAGATTAGAGGTTAACATTGCCCTTCTTGAATTTGGGGCCTCCAATTAGCTTGATAATTTTTTTCCATTCTTTGATTTTTTTTTTAGTCTATTTTTGTCTTCATGTTTAAGCTGTCTCTGTAGGTGGCATACTTTCTAATCCGGTTTGTTCCTCTCTGTCTCTTGACTTCTTGACTGTGTATTGAATCCACTGGTATTAAGTATCACTATTGGTATGTATGGGGTTTGTTGGTTATTTTCCTGTAAGGTCTTTTTTTTTAAGTTTTATTGGTTTCTTTGTTATTCCTCTATTCTCTGTTATTTTGAGTACTGTTTCCATTGCGTAGATTTCTGATTGTTGTTGCTTTGTATGTTACTCTTAGGTGTCTCTACTATTGTTGATTCACTATCCAAAGTGTTCCCATTAATATTTTCTGTAATGCTGGTCTTGTTTTCACAAATTCCTTTAATTTTTCCTTCTCTGGAAATATCCTTGATTCTCCCTTGCACATGAGGGGAAATTTTGCTGAATATAGAATTATTGGTTGGCATTTAAACTATTTATATTTTAAATATTTTGCACATAAAACATGTGCTACCTATTTTTATTACATATGATTTATTTAATATGTTTTACTGACTTGTTTTCTTGTCTTCATGGTTTCTGCTGAGGAGTTCTAGTTTGCTCTTCTTATTTTTCCTTCGTGTGTGACTTCTTTTTCTATAGCTGCCCCAGGAGTTGCCTCTTTTTCTTGAAATTGCAAAGTTTCATTCTGATGTGTTTTATTGCCTTTGTGGGGGGCGTCTATTCTATTTTTGGATCTTTCAACTTCCTGTATAGTTATTTTATCCTCCCGTATGGCGTTGGGGGAATACTCATCAAAAAATTGTAGTATTTTACTGTAGATTTTTTTGTTTGTTTGTTTCTTTTTTTGATCCGAAACCCCATGAGACGTAGGTTGTTCTTTTGATGTTGTGCCACATAATTTGTCATCTTTCTCCAGGTTACTCTGTGTTTTCCTTCTGTTGGTTTTGTTAATTGTTTCTCTAGTTGGTTGTATTCTAAAGAATTATCTTTGGATAAGTCATTTCCCCCTTCACCAGCAAGGCTAGTATCATAAAACAAGGCGCCTAAGACTGTACTTAAATATACTCTTATTTTTCTTCTGTCACTCTCACTTTCTTAGTGACCTTTGCATTTTGACTGTTTTTTTTCTTTCTTTCTGTATTCTGCTTGCTTCCTAAATGATATAAAAGGTGCAGCCAAAGACCAACCCCTGCTTCAGTATGGTGGACTGCTCCTTTGAAAGGTTCTCTCTGCAGTCTGGGCTTCACATAATTAAAAAAAAAGAATTATCTTTGAACTCTAATTTGATTTTCCTTTTGATTCTACTACTCAGCTCTTTTACCACATTGTCTCATTCTATTACCTATTGTTTCTTTCCTACATCTCTTTGGTGTAGGGATTCTAGTTTCAAAATATTTTGTTCTCCATTTGTAGAAAGGCATCTTATCTTATTCTTTATAATTCTATTTGTGACCTTCCTTGCGGGGGTCTGTGGATGGCCCAGGCCTTCCTAGATGAAATGTGGATCATCAGGGCCTTCCTTTTCTGCCAGGGTGTGAGGATATCTGGGGCTTTCCTTGCTGGAAAGCAGGGATACCTAAGACCTTTCTTCTTTGCCAGGGGATGGGGATACCTGGGCCTTCCTTTCCAGGGGGCAGGGATGGCCTAGGCCTTCCTTGCTGGGTGTGAGTCACATCCAGAGCCTTCCTTGCCAGATTGGAGGAGTGGGGGGTATCAAAGGCCTTCCTTGCTGGGTCTCTGGGATGGCTGGGGTCTTTCTTGCTGGATGCAGGTACAGCTGAGAATTCCTTGCTTATGCTAGGGGACTAGGGCTTTTCCTTTGGGGCCACAGGTGCAACTTGGGTCTACCTTGCTAGGCCCCAAGGATAGCTAGGGCCTTCCTTGATTAGGGATGACTTGGGTCTTCCTGGCTGGGTTGTCAGGCCTGTAGGGCTGTCCTTTCCCAGGAACAGTGTTTGACAGAGCCTACCTTTCCGGGTGGCAGTAATGACTGGCGCCTACCTTGCAAGGGGGCAGGGTTATTGGTTGCTGGATTGACTGGGGCATCCTGTGCTGGGAGAGCAGGACTAGCCAGGACCTCCCTTTCCAGTTTCCAGGGACAACAGGCCTTACTTATTGGGGAGAGGGACGGCTGGGCCTTTCCTTGTCCAATCACAGCGGCACAAAGGGCCTGCCTTGCTGAATCCCAGACACAGCTGGGAACTTCCTGTGTGGAGGATGGCTGGGGCCTTCCTTCCAGGGAAATAATGTGATATTCTGTTGAGGTTTTCTTGAGGTTATTTTTAATGGTTATATATGGATGCTTTGGCTTAGGTGATTCAAACTCACCAGCCTCGCTGCAGGACAAAGGTGAGGCTGTCTACTGATATAAGAAGACTGATAGTCTCAGAACCCTATATAGGGTTGATATGGATTATAAACAAGTTGATGGTATTGAGTTTGGGTTTTATGTGTGTAAATGGAGACCTGGTGGTGAAGTGATTAAAGCCCTTGCCCTCTAACTGAAAGGCCTGTGGTTTGAATTCACTACTGTTAAATGGAAGAGATATGGCAATCTTCTTCTGGGAATATTAGAGCAATGGAGATATTCTCTGCCCACGTGGTTACTATGAGTTGAAATCTACTCAAGGCAAGGGCCTTGGGTTGTCATGGTTTTATGTGTGTAAAGAGACATGAAACGCAGGTTTTTAAAACAAATTAATAAAATATTTATGTACCAGAACAAGAAGTTTGTCTAAACTTTTCTAGTGGGCAAAAATAAAAGAATCATTATCCCCTCCTTTTCAGCCAGGGTGTGGATTCAAGTCAAAGAATCGGAGTTCTCTGTCTCTATCCCTGGATCAACTGTCTCCATTGGGCATCTGCTCCGACCATTCTCTGACACTGCTTTTGTGAGATCTGAAATAGGCTTGTGGAAATGTGAACCTTTCAGGTTGTCAATTTGTCTTACAATCTCCTCTCCTATATCCCAGGGCATTTCATTTCTTTCTTCTCTCTAGTTTTTTGTTTGTTTTATTTTAAATATGATAAATTTCTGTGTTCATGATTAGTCTTACCTCCATGCGTCCACACATGCTGTTCCCTCTGCTTGCAATGTCCAGCTAAACCATACTAGTATTTTCCCTGGGAAATAAAAATTAGAAACCTTCCCTAGGACCTCATGTGCCCCTTGATCTGCATGTATGTTGTTATTTCATCATTTTTTAAGTAAGCTGAATGGACACTGAATTCAGCACATGGGCATCACACGTTGTAGTTGTTAGATGCTGTTGAATGGGTGCTGACTCATGGTGATCCCACGCACAATGGAGTTAAATGCTAGCCAACCTGTGCCATTACAATTGGTTACATTGGAAAGTTGACTGATTTCCAGATATCAGATAACCAGGCCTTTCTCCTAGTATATCTTAGGCTTGAAGATCCATTGATTCTTGTTCAATATAGCAGCAACACAAAAGCCTCCAGTGGCAGATGGGTGATTTTTGTGTTTGAGGTGCTTTGGTTGGGAATTGACCCCCAAGTTCTTGAATGGAAGGTAAAAATTCTACCACTCCCATTTGATATTATATGACAAATTATGGCATAGATGTGCCCTAATTAAACATCCTTTAAATGCAAGGTTGGATACTCCTTGTCTGTCTTCTTTTTTTTCGGGTGGGGGGGGTACTGTTTTCCACTTCTCCATGACATGCTGTGTGCTGTGACAGTGATGTGACTAAATATGTATAAAATCCCAGGCATGGAAAGCTGCACAGACTCTGCCAAAGATGGACTAATAACTTGACTGAACAGGTTCATATTAGATGAGCCACTCTCACAGGACATATCACATACACTTGTGATGTACCAACAGAGATTGAAGGAATACCGGTGTGCAATTGGTTAAGCATTAGCTTATAAATTATGGGGTCAGTGGCTTCATGGGAAAAAGACGAAACTGCCTGTCCCTGCAACCATCTCCAGTCTCAGGAACTCTATGGAGTTCTACTCTATTTTATAGGTTTATTGCTATGAGTCTGAATCACGCAGTTGGCAGGGGATTTTTTTTACTTGTCAAAAATGGCTTTGGTAGTTAAAGAAATATCTTGTTTTCATTACCTACTGAAGGAAGCCCCTGTAAGCTCTATCCAAGTCCTGTCCTGGTTTCTCTGAGAAGTTAGACTTCCCTTCAGTCAATTTTGCTTCATTATGTGCATTACATGGGCTTTATCATAATAAGGCCAAGTGGCAACCATTTTTGGATATAGTGAGTCTGGGAAGATTCTGGACAATTTAAATGATGTGGACTACTTGATATTAGATAAGGAAATACATAGGCACAAAAGTGTCTGTAAAAAAATTAATCATTTTTTAAAATTTAATAAGTTCCAGAGTCTTGTATACATATATTCTCTATACTCAAAGTGAGATATAGGTGAAAGTGAGATATAGGTGAAGCCTATATTTCACCCCTTTCTAGATCCAGATTTATTTCTTGCTAGTACTAGGTATTACTTGCCCTCTTTCAAAGGTGTCACTGGTCCCGTATATACTAAGGCAAAGACTATGAGGATTCTCCAATAAGCCAGATGCTTTGCCTTTCAGGGAACAAAAGTGGGCCAAACAGACTGGCCTGCACAAATAACACGCATTGGAACCATCACAGTTGTGAGTTTCCTCTACTTCTGGGAGCTCCCTCTCTCTGCGGCTGAGCCTGAAAGGCCTCCGAGGACTCTGAAGGGGTCCCGATCCCTTTCTCCACGGAGTGCCTGAGAAAGAACACACCAGATTCATTATCAATTTTATTTCCTACCATACACCAAATGTACAGCACTGAACACAATTCTGTTGCTTTGATGTAAGAAATATTAATTGTTTGGAGAAACGGTGTACAAACAAACTACTTTAAATAAAAAATGCATACATCATTTTTTTGTTTACAAAAGACCCAATTTACAGTATTGAAAAAATTACAGCAAAATAAAAAAGTCCAGCACACATTACAAAACACATCAACTACAAAGGAGGCAAATAAATGCGAACATACTTTACAAAACATCCTGTCAAACAATCCAAACACAAATAAATTAGCCTGAAGTCAAACAAAATGGTAGCAATAAATACATAGGTTGGTAAGCAATTTCATTTAAATTAAATATATAACAAACTTGTTAAATATTTAGCAAATTAAACTTTTGCCTTTATAATAAGTGAACTCATTTGTCTGCATCTATCAAGTACTGTATAGCAAAATGTTTGCAAATACATAACTTTAATAGAAAATTTGTTTGGTGTCCCATTTATAATAGACAGCACATCTGATAGATCTTTTTTAAAAACAGATTTTTAAATAAACACCATTCCTATCTAAAACAGACACCTCATTTTCACTAAGCTAAGAGTCAAGGGTTCAAATGAACCCCCAAAGCAAAGATAGAGCCCCACTTAATGCATAATAAAGACTATCATTTCATGAGTGTGGAATTACAGCTGAGTGATACATTTCATTTGTGCAGGTAAAAGTGATAACAGTGGAATATATCAAGCCTTTGAATGCCATCACATTCAATCTAAATATCAATGAGGCTAATAAAAAATAAACACTTTTGTCATAGCACAGTAAATTAAGTCCATACTAAGTTCATGTGTACGTTTACACAGAGGCACATCTGCACATGAGGTGTGTGTGCATACCAAAAAGGCAGTTTAGCTGGTTGTCTATACCTTTTTATTAAAAAAAATAAATATAAAAAAACTTTTGAAATAATGCTTACCTACTTACAATCCCTGAAATAGACATTGCCTTTACTATAGCAACTACTAAGCTCTGATCCATTCAGAAATTCAAGATCGCAGGCTCAATTTTATGTGTATGAGTGTATGTGAATGGATGTGTGTGTGTGTGTGTGTGTGTGTGCATTTGCACATACTTTGTAGCACTTGGAGTTCTATGGAAATATATATATATTATTAAATTGAAAGTTGTCTTGTTGCTTAAGAGGGAATAAACCAATGTTGACAGCATTAAAGTAATTACCTAGATTGCAGGAGCATGTTTATGCGTCAATGTATTTTCCATTCTTTTCATTCAAGCCAGTAAGATAAATGCTATTTCAGGGGATATGATATCTACAGAATTTTCCATTTGGATGCATTTTTATTTGCTAAGTACAAATCTACATCAACATTGCCATTTGTATATTGTACCAACATATGGCAGGAAAGCTTGGCTGGTCAGATCAAGTTTTGTTTCTCATCTTGGAATAAGAGTTGCCAACTCTCTGATATATCTTCAAAACAAACAGACCTATCTGCATCACTGAAAGAGCTTATGTTTTTTAAAAAGGTTTCAAATAAATAATTCATATTAACAAAGTCTTACAGCCAAGTTGAATACTTTGCTGATCTCTGTATTTAATTATTGCTAACAAATTCTCAGGCTGTTTTCCAGGGAACTGTGCCTTTGTGAGTGAGTGACTTCCAGTAGTGGGCGCCATCTGTCCCTTGTTTGCTCTTTCACACATCTCACTTCACAGTATAAATTATAAATAGGAAAGCTAGTGACAGGGGAGAAAAGAATACACATATCATAGGGACCACAGTGCAGTCCTTAGACAAAAGTTTTCTCCACACTTTGTGCCTTCTCCTTTAAACCCAGCAAGATATGTGGTTTCAGAATAGCATTTCTATTAAATCCTATTGGAAAATAAGTTAATAAAACACACTTGTAAAAATATGGCTGAATTCACAATGCAGTTAAAAGATAAATAACTCTTTGATTAGAAATAAATAAAATATAAAAATGTCACATTTATTTTACATATGCTTTACAAAGAAAAGCGCAATGGAGAAATAAAATATATGAAAATAAATAAGATCTAACATTTGACTGCATTGCTTTTAACCCAAATAGGCTAACATAGTTTTTCGTTCCTGTTTATGTCAGCTGGGGAAAAAATTAGTGCAATGTTGCAATTGTATATGCAGTACAGCAACCTGCATGCCGCTGTTGTACAGGAGCCTCCACCGTGCCATGTGGGGTTACTGTTGGTGATTGCTGCTGTTGGTAGTGTTGCCATCCTACACATGGATGCCCTTCACTGCCTGTTTGATACTTTCCAGAAGAGCTTTGCATTCTGGGGAATAGTCCCGCTCCAGATTGCTGTACATGTCTGTGAGTGTATTTACATATGCTTCAAAATTCTGCTCACTGATAGGCCCCTGCATAAAGACAAAACACAGTGTATCAACCACAGTGACTTAGGCAAGTTCTGGGACAGGAAAGTTACCTGTGACTCCGTAGTCTGGGAGGGCAGCCAAGGGTTCAAACAACAGAAGGAATTTGAGCAGGTAAAACGAGATTGAGTGTGGACTGGGATTTATAAGAATATCATTTATTTTTAAAATAATGGGACTAATGTGATATGAAGCCAAAAGGTTTTGTTGTTCCATTCAAAGACATGTAGAACAGACCATGGGGCCCTCAGGCCTGCAGTACTCAGGGCACAGTTTGGAGCAGACCTGCATGTGAACAAACTATGGGTGGAAGGCCAGTGTGGACAAGCCTGTGAGGGTGACATGAGTTGTGGAAGCCAGTGACTTTGACAGCACTGGTCAGGACATTGGGACTTAATATTGGACCAAGTATCTCACTAACCAACTATATGGTGGAAAATCTCCCATCTCCATTCTCAGATACCATTATGATCATTTTTTTTCTTGGTGCTCCTTGTAAATATATTTTGATCTCTATAGTCTATTCTCCAGTGTAGTATCAGATTTGCAAATTTAAGGTCTAGCCATACTTTTTTCAGTTATGAGTATGCATTGGTTTTCATTCATTGTTGTTGCTTAAGGTGGTGCAACTCGAAGGTGTGAATGAAAGAACGTGGATGGTACTCATTGAGTGGGACTCATCTAATTCTAGTACCTCTATTCCCCATCATTTTGATAGATAAGTAAACAAAGGCATGCAAAAACCATGGTTGTGTATCTTACTTCAAGGAGTGTTTGCAAGAAGGACTTGAAAAAGTCTAAATTGTTCTTGCTATTTTTACTATTTAGGATGTAAATATTCTAAATGTGAGGATTATATTTCTGTGCTCAGCCAAGTAGCACCCTAAAGTATAGTGTTTTCATAACAAGTCTCCTGCTCTCCTGTTCCATGTCTACCTTTGCTGTGCTATTTGTGGAGAACCATCATGAGGTCTCAGTGGACCTCTGTGGCAAATAATCAGAAACAGCTGGATTGGATGAAAAAGAATGCAACATCAGGATCAGAAGAAGGCTAATTAACAACCTGCAAAACGCAGATGACACAACATTGCTGAAACTGAGGATGATTTGAAGCACTTTCTGATGAAGGTCAAGGATTTCATCCTTCAATATGGTTTATAACTCAATGCAATGAAGACCAAAATCCTCACAAACAGGCAACAACATGATAAATGGAGAAAAGTTTGAAGTTATCACAGATTTTGTCTTGCTTGGATCCACAATCAATGCTTACAGAAGCAGCAGTCAAGAGATCAAGCAATGTTTTGCGATGGGTAAATCTTCTGCAGAAGATTTCTTTAGCATGTTGAAAAGCAGGGAGGGTTACTTTGAGGAGTGAGATGTGCCTGACTCAAACCATGACCTTTTCAATGACCCCACATGCATGTGAAACTTGGACAATGGATAAAGGAGACTGAAGAAGAATCAATCCATTTGAATTATAATGCTGGTGAAGAATATCGAAAGTACCAATGACAGGCAAAATAACAAACCGATTTGTTTTGGAAGAAGTACAACCAGGATACGACTCCTTAGAGGCAAGGATGCCAAGGCATCATCTCACGTACTTTGGACATGTTTTCTGAAGAGAACAGTCCCTGG